ATCAAGTATCCGTTCCAACTACAATGGTATGAAACTAGAAATCAATAAAAGGGGAAAATCTAGAAAATTCACAAATATGTGGAAATTAAAGTACATGTTTCTAAACAAAGAAAAAAATGAGTCGAAGAAAAAAATCAAAGGTTAAAATTTAAAATCTCTTGAGACAAACAAAAATGGAAATACAACACACTAAAAACTATGGATGCTGTAAAAGCACTGTTAAGGAGGATGTTGGCAGCAGTGAATGCCTACATTAAAAAAAAGAAAGATCTCAAATAAACAACCTAACATTATACCTTAAAAAACTAGAAAAAGAAACTAATTCCAAAGTTAACAGAAGGAAAAAAGTAGTAAAGCTTACATCAGAAATAAATCAAATAGAAACTAGAACTATTTAAAAATCAAAACTAAGAGTTGAGTTTTTGAAAAAATAAAATTAACAAACTTTTAGCTTGAATCACTAAGAATTTTTTTAAATATACAAATAAGATAAAAAATGAAAGTGAAACCATTACAATAAATGCCTTAGAAATAAAAAGGACATGAGGGACTACTATGAAAAATTATCTGTAAACAAGTTTAATAGCCTAAGAGAAATGAATAAATTTTTAGAAACATACAACCTACCAAGATTGAATCAAGAAGAAATAGAAATCATAAACATACAAAGCTTATTAACATAAAGGGATTGATGTAGTAATTCAAAACTTCCCAACAAAATAAAGCCTAGGACCAGATGCATTGATGGCTGAATTCTACCAAACATAGAGAGAATAATTAATACCCATCCTATTCATCTATTTCAAAAATAGTAGAGAAAATACAAACTCATTTTATGAGGCCAGTATTATCCTGATATGAAAGCCAGAAAAGATACCACAGGAAAGGAAAACTATAGGCCAATACCTCTGATGAACATAGATGCAAAAATCTTCAATAAAATACTAGTAAACCAAATTTTACAACTCATCTAAAAAGTTATACATTGTGACTAAGTGAGATTATCCCTTGGGTGCAAGGTTGGTTCAACATAGGCAAATTAATCAACACGATACACCACATTAACAGTATGAAAAATAAAAACCACATGATCAAGCCAGATGCAGTGGCTCATGCCTGTATTCCCAGCACTTTGGAAGATCAAGGTGGGCAGATCACTTGAGCTCGGGCATTTAAGACCAGCCTGGGCAATGTGGTAAAACCCTGTCTCCACCAAAATATAAAAATTAGCCAGGTGTGGTGGTGTGGCACCTGTGGTCCTGGCTATTTGGGAGGCTGAGTAGGGTGGCTCACTTGAGACTGCAGGGTGGAAGTTACAGTGAGCTAAGATCACACCACTATACTCCAGCAGCCTGGGTGACAGAGCCAGCAGACCGTGTCTAAGAAAAACAAATATATACATATATATATATATATATGATTTCAATAAATGCAAGAAAAGAATTTGACAGAGTTTTTATACTTTCATGATAAAAACCCACCAAAAAATTAGGTGTAGACGTAAATTTACTCAACATATTATAGGCCACTTATGAATAGTCTACATTAAAACCAATGGGAAAATACAAGAAGCTTTTCTCTAGGGTCTGGCTTAAGGCAAGGATGCCTACTATCACCACTTCTATTCAACATGGTATTGGAAGTACCAGCAAGAATAACCAGACAAGAAAAAAATATAAAAGATAGCCAAATAAAAACTATTCTATTTGCAGGTGACATGATCCTTTATGTAGAAAACCCTAAAGACTTCACAACAAACTCTTAGAACTAATAAACAAATTTAGTAAAGTTGCAGGATTAAAAAAATACAAGTATCAATGGTATATCTTTACACTAAATATTACCTGTCCAAAAAAGAAATCAAGAAAATAAATCCATTTACAATAGCATTAAAAAAATACAATGCTTAGCAATAAATTCAACCAATGAGGTAAAATATCTGTACACTTGAAAAACCATAAGATGAAATAAATTGAAGAAGATACAAATAAAATATATCTCTTGTTCATAGATTGAAATATTAATAATGTTAACATTATTTATACTCAAAGCAATATACAGATTCAACACAATCCTTCTAATAATTTCAATTTCATGGAAATTGGAAATTAATTCTAAAATTTTTATGGAACAACAAAAGTACCTGAATAGCCAAAGCAGTCCTGTAAACGGAAAACAAAGTTGGAGGCATCACACTTCCTGATTTCAGATTATATTACCAAGATAAAAACAATATGGTGCTACCATGAAAAATGACACATAGACCAATGGAATAGAGAGTCCAGAAATAAATCTAGGCATATATATTGTTAACTAATTTCTGACAAAGGAAGAAGATAGAATGAAGAAAGGAGAGTGTCTTCAATAAATGATGTTGGGAAATCTGTATATCCACATCAAAACAATAAAATCGGAGCCTTATCTTACACTACAAAATAATCGACTCAATATGAATTAAAGATATAAACATAGAGCCATAAAACTTCTCGAAGAATACATGTGAGAAAAGCTTATTAACATTTTCCTTTGCAGTGATTTTTTTGTTGTTTTCTGGCTGTGACAGCAAGCATGAGCAACAAAAAAGTAAATAAACAAGTGGGACCACATTAAACTAAAAATCTTCTGCCCAGCAAAGGAAACAATAAACAAAATGAAAAACAGACTCAAGATTGGGAGAAAATATTTATGAACCATGTATCTGATAAGGGGTTAATATCCAAAATATATAAGAAACTCACAACTCAATAACAACAATCAAGTAACTCAGTTTTAAAATGGTCAAGAGACCTGAATAGACCTTTCTCCAAGGAGGACATAAAAATATAAAACAGGTATGTGAAAAGATGTTCAATGTTGTTAGTCATGGAAATGCAAATCAAACCACAATGAGATATCACCTCACACCTATTAGGATGGTTGTTATCAAAAGGATAAGACATAACAAATATTGGCAAGGGTGGTGAGAAAGGAAAATACTTACACTTTGTTAGTGAGAATGTAAATTGGTGTAGCTATTATGACAAACAATACAGAAGTTCCTCAAAAAAATTACAAATACAATTACCACATGTCCTAGCAATCCCTCTTGTGTGTGTATACCCAAAGGAAATGAAATCAGTACTTTATCAAGATACCTACATTCCCATGTTCACTTCAGCATTATTCACAATAGCCAAGATAATGGAAACAATCTACATGTTCAGCAACAGATGAATGGAAAAGAAATTGTGATATATATGTATCACAGGTGTGCACCACCATGCCCGACTAATTTTTGTATTTTTAGTAGAGATGGGGTTTCACCATGTTGGCCAGGCTGGTCTTGAACTCCTGATCTATACAAGCATATATAATATGATAAGGGGTTAATATCCAAAATATATGAGGAACTCACAACTGAACAACAAAAATCAAATAACTCAGTTTTAAAATAGGCAAGGGACGTGAATAGACATTTTTCCAAGGAGGATATAAAAATATAAAACAGGTATGTGAAAAGGTGCTCATTTCAAATACCACCTTCTAGGTTTTATTGTGTATATATGACCCATATATCTGATAAGTGGTTAATATCCAAAATAGATAAGGAACTCACAGCTCAATAACACACACACACAATAAACACACACACATACACACACACAATAAAATACTATGCAGCCTTCAAAAAAGGAGATCCAGTTATTTGCAACAACATAGATGAACTTGGAAAACATTATGCTAAGTGAAATAAGCCAGGCACAGAGAGTCATATACTGCATCTCTCTTATACATGGAGTCTAAAAAACAGTCAAATACATAGAAACAGAGAGAAGAATGCTGGTTACCAAAGTCGGAGAGTGGGGAGGAATGGGGAGGTGAAGATCAAAGGGTAAAAAGTTGCAGTTGTATAGGATAAAGATCTAGTGTACAGCATAAGGACTATTGTGAGTAATATTTGTATACATGCTAAAAATTTGCTAGGGGAGGAGATTTTAAGTGTTCTTAACAACAACAAAAAGATAACTATGTGAGATGATAGGTGTGTTCATTGGCTTGACTGTAGTAAACACTTCACTGTATCTATGTATATCAAAACATCATGTAACCTTAAATATATAATAAGAAAAAAAGAAAAGCATATTTCTTTTGTCTCTGAGTTGATATATTACAAGTCATATTCAACACATTATTTGCTATTCCAAATACAAACCTAGCGTTTTTCAATGTGTCTTATTCACATTGTTTCTCCCACCTCGCCCATGACTTTCTCTACTCTGCAGACTCTGACTGTCCCAAACTTACCTTCTGTTTATACATAATTCAAACGCCAACTCCTAGATTGCAACTTCATCCTTTGAGGTTAAGGGAGAAATGTCCCTTTGTTTTCCATTATCATTTGACATGCACACATATGTGAATTCTATTAAACTGCAGGCTCTTAGGAAATATAGCACTCATGCCAGAACCTTCCCTATCACCTACTATGATGACCTTCATGCACATAGTAGGTTCACAGGAAATGTCTTATGTCACTTTTTTCAGTTAACAAACTGGCTAATAAAATGTGAGAACTCAACCTGAGTTTAGTGAATGTTTTTTACTTGAGGAATTCTAGTTCAGAAACTATGAATCAAATATTTAAAATTCTATTAGAATTTTCCCTCACCAAAAGTACAATTTCTATAGCTGAGAGGTCGTTTACCCAGCAGACTAAGTTTTGCCTACTTGTTGGGTCAATTAGTTGGCGAGAAAGAGGTACTCACTTTCTCAGTGTCATCTAAGAGACATCTAGACATAGTTTTATATCCTTAAAGGTTGGGTGCCAGTGGCTAATGCCTGTAATCCCAGCACTTTGGGAGGCTGCAGAGGGTGGATCACTTAAGATCAGGAGTTCGAGACCAGCCTGGCCAACATGGTGAAACCCCATCTCTACTAAAAATACAAAAATTAGTCGGGCATGGTGGTGCACACCTGTGATCCCAGCTACTTGGGAGGCTGAGGCAGGAGAATCACTTGAAACCAGGAGACAGAGGTTGTATTGAGCTGAGATCTCGCTACTGCACACTAACGTGGGTGACAGAGCAAGATTCTGTTGAATGGTGGGCTGTGAAGCTCTCTGCACATGTGTTTTTCTGTGATGCTATGCTCAGCTTTGTTGTTTGTCATTATCTCCTAACAGTAAGCAAGAGTGGAAAAATCCATTTGTACCCTCCAGTATGTTCCAGCTGGGTTATCTCAGTTGTCTTGTTCTGAATTTGTACCCTTTCCTCTAAGTGAGGCCAGAAGGCTTTTGCAGAGAAGCTCTGAGCAAGTGACTGATGCTAGCAATTCTTATCAGATTCACTCATTGAGGGCACCATGTGGGCAATGCTGCAGAGCTTTTCAGGGTGTTTGCATTTCTAGAATCAGCAAGCAGATGAGGGAGGAGCCCAGAACAGCTGGTGGAGAAAATAAGAGCAGGTGATAGTCTGGGTTCAGAGAAAAAGGGTTGTTTTTCTTTCAAAAGCTAGTACATTGCAGGCATGCTATGAAGGGATTGTGGAGCGGGAAGTGCCTGCAGCAAAGAGACTGCTGGACCAGGAGGCACAAAGCTTGGGTATGAGGCCCGACTTCACTGCTTACTAAATGGGTGACCTTGGCTCAGGCACCCAATCATGCTGATTCTCTATTTCCTTACTGTAATCAGAAGAAATTATTGTTCTGTAGCCTTTATAGCCATGTTCTCAAACTTTAAGGGGCTAGTGGTCTTGTTAAACGTGAATGCTTGCTCAGTAAGCCTACATGGGACATTTCTAACAAGCTTCAGGTGATGCAAATGTGCTGGTTTGTATCATTTTATATAATAAGGCCACACTGTATTGAAGAAGATACTAAATGAGGTAAGGGATAGGGAGAAGCTTTATAAACTGTAATGCATTTTTTAAAAGCTACTTTATGAATAGCAATGATAAAAACAGGTGCTTTCTATTTAGTACAGCAGTTCCTAGGATTGTTTGCCCCTACACTGAAGATCTGAACTTCTTTTGAAGGGCTTCCCAACCCTCCCCCACCTCTCAGTTAGTTCTCAGTATGGTTGGTTCCAGCCCAAGGGCTAACTTCTCCTGCTGACAGAAGCAATGGGATCAGCATTTTCCAGAAGGCAGCAGGCTAATGTAGTGATTTAGCAATGCAATGATTCCCCAAAGCTTACTAGAGGGGCTCTGAGGAACCTTGTAGAAAAACACACAGCTCCCTTAAAGGAAACATGGTCTGAATCTACAACAACTCTTTGAAGGTATACATTATACTTGCACTGCTTTTGGAAACAGAATAGAAATAATTTCACCTCTTGCAAACTACTTTGCATTTCTGTCTCTCGCATCAGCAATCTGAGGTTCTTGCATCAGAAGAGATATGCACGTTCTCTAAGGGGGGATTATTGATACTGTCCCAAATTTCTGGTATATAAGGACATTCACTGAAGGTTAACTCCCAGCCCCAGTTCAGTATTCTGGAGGAAGGCTCAGATGTTACTTGCCTAAAGGAGCTTGTTGTGGCAGAAAGCACACTATAATAGGGAGAAGGTGGACTGCCTAGTCCCAGGAGTGTTGCCTTGCATATCTGAGATCTGACTGTGACAGAAGCCACTAGTCAGAAGACATGAGGGCATGAAGATGGAGATGTACTGTGGCCTCACCAAAGCTCATCTCCAACATTCTCACTTTCACCGACTTCACCAGCTTCCTTGATGCTCTGCAAATATGCCAAGCACACGACTCCTTACAGGACTTGCATTTGCTGTTTCCTCCATCTGAAATGCTGCTCTCCCAAACAGGCCATTGCTTGCTCCCTTGCCTAATTCAAGTGCTTGTCCAAATGTTGCCTCTTCAGTGAGGTCTTTCATGACCTACCTAATTAAAATTCTAAATTAATCCCCTAATGTCTCCTAGAATCCCCTGTCCCCCTGCCTGGTCTTTTTTTTTTTTTAAATGATACTTTCCAACATCGGACATAAAATGTTTTATTTATTTCATAGTCTCTCCTCCATCACAGAAGGTAAACTTCATAAACTCAGAGAACTCTATTGGTTTTGTTCACTGCTCTATGTAAACCAGTGCAGCACATAATAGGTCTCAAGAAACATTGGCGAATAAACAAATCCATATTTTAATGAATTAACTAAGCAATTAATAAGAGGGTTATTAAAGTATCAAATCTCAGATAATGTGGATGCTCATCAAAACTATATACGACCTCCTCTAACAAAGTTGTTTACTCAAAAATGTATTGTTCTGGATTGGGAGATAAACAAAGCCAGTATAACCAAGTTCTGTTTATGTAGCTGTATAAGTTTATACAGGCCCCTTACCTAGCTAAGTCCCTTCTAAACACCAATATCATATAATACTAAAAATAAGAATAGCGGTGGCCTTATACACAACAATATTAAAAATATTTACTGAGTGTTAATATGTGTCAGACATTATCCTGAGGGCATAGAAGCCATAAAAGGGTTTAAATATAGACTTTCATTCCATTAAACCTTACTTACTGACAGTAGGAAGAAGACAAAATGCAAAAATTTAATGAATAGTTAAATATTAAATTCCTACATTGAGCAAAAATGATGAATTTTAATATTTCTGTCAGCTTTATAATTTACTTTTGGTTCTCTGGAGATGTGAAACAGCTAGATACTTGCCAATGATATTCAAATAGCCACATATCTTCACCCAGAAGGTGACGATCACCTCCATTTTTCAAAGAGAAACCACAAAATATCAGTGAGAAGACCTTAGTTGTCAATACATGTCAGCCTTTCAGAGTGCTCGTCACATTGTTCACTTCCTTTTTCAATATTAGTCCCTTTGTTCCATTTAGAAAAGTGCTTTATGTTAATGCTTTAAAGAGAGTTATGTGTCATGAGAGAATTGTCTTTCCTCTTTCTGTCTGAAGATACGTATGATAACTGTCTTAGTCACTAAAAACCTGCCATCAGCGTTTCCCTGTCAATCCTTAAAACGCATTTGCAGCTTTCAATTTTGTTTTTCCTTCTGATTCCTTGTTTCTAGTTCTCACCTGTTTCCAAATACCAGCCATGTCTTTTTCCTGGCTTTAAGTTTTACATCTCTCAGATGAGGGCTTGGGGAAAACAGCATCCATGCCATTTACAACTCTTTCATTTTGCTATACCTTAGTGTTTTCTGCAACACGGAAATCTCTTTAAACATTTCCACCCTTCACTTTCCTACACAATTTCAAGTCATAGAAAAGGAATGAGTCAGTGGTAATCATGGCTCTCAAAAAGCTATACCTGGTGAAACATTAGCACCACTGCTACGTGTGAAAAATTCTGAGTACAAACTATTCAGTCATGTTGGGATACAATATATCCACTCCTACAAACTTATTTCTAGTTTATAAAAGAAAAGCACAATTATCTAGGGCACATAACAAATATTCCATAATATCTAATTGCAAGTCAATCAAAATACACATCTTTTCCTCTTTAGCCACACTGGTAGAAAATCACCACTCTAACAAAATAAGCCACAACCTGCAACACTTGGAAAGAGGTGCATTTCTCAATTTATCCTGAGCTTGACCTCCCATTCCAATTAATTTTGTGCAGTCAACTCTAATGAAATATTATGTCACTCAGTAAGTATTCAGAAGTACTGCAGAGACATGCAAAAGCCCAGTTGTAAGGCTTGATGCAACATCTTGATGTAAGTTCTCTCTCTAGCACTTTCTCTCTCTCTGGGCTTCTAGCTGATCATCTTTAGGATGAAGGCATGGTGAGACAATGCCACATGCTTGAGTAAGTTATTTCAATCTTTTCATTGTAATAATTTCATTGTACATCTTAAATGTATTCTTAAGAGATATTTACAGATAAAGACTGCAGTCTCACTTGCTGAATTCCTGATATGCTCCACCATCTCTAACACAAGACCCAAATCTCTCCTTTCTAAGTGGAAAGAAAAATTTCCCATAAAATCACTTCAGTTGCCTGAGGGTGATAATTAGCACATTTCCTGAGATTTCTTTTTCAGGTTAAGCAATGTCAATTCTCTTAACCTGTCATTAAAGTGCTCATTTTATATACACACTCTCTCTATTTTTATAAGCTTCTTCTAAACTGCAGTCCAGAAATGGACACAATGCTTTAACAATATCCAAATAATATAAAATATAAACAAAGATCACATTCATGAAACCAGAAAATTATGCTTTTAAAAAAAATTAAATTGTAGCCAGTTATTGAATTTTAAGATTCACTATATTCAATGTGTTCAAATAAAGTAAAATTAGAATTTTACTTAGCAATAAAACAAATCCAAGTAAAGTCCTGTCACATCTTAATAAAAATATACATTTCATTTTTAAAGATTTGTCACTGAAAATTAGGCAAAGTTGGGAGCAATAACTCTGACCACCATATCTTCTTGTTTTATGTTTGGCTACTTAACATGTGGCATTTGAGGCCACAAAAGAGTCAAACATCCTTGAAATGTTAGTGTTGTACAATATGAAAACCAAAAATAGAATTCTAAGGCCCCCAACAACTTATGGAACCCCTCTTGGCTAAAAGCATTCCAAATAAACCTGAAACTCTTGTTTAGGCCATGATGGAAAGAGGGAGGTTGGACATGCCTCATTATACATTCCTCCTTTGGAATTCAGGCACCACTGACCAGCATTAACATTCAGAGATCTTAAAACTGGCAAAACTGGCTTTTTGTAGCAATAAGATTCCAGCACGACTGGTAGTGGGCCCTGAAAGAAACTGAAGTATTTTGCTCCACAATATATTTATTTGACATACTTTGAAATGGCCCTGTAAAGCTGTCCCTTGTAAGAAAATCTACATTATGTAGAGAATCCTCCTCCCTTTCCAGATCTTTTCCCTGATCTGGGAGATAATTAACTAAGAGGAGTCTGGCACCTTTTTAGGTCTGATTAAAAACTCAGAAGCCTGGTACCTGAAGCTTTCATTTGCATGATAAAACCTTGTGTGCACAACTCTTTATCTTAACCCAGACATTCCTTTCTATTGATTCCAGATCTTTAGATAATAAGTGTTTCAACCAATTGTCAATCAGAAAAGCTTTGAATCCACCTGTGACCTGGGAGCCCTGTACCTTTGAGTTGGCCTGCCTTTCTTTCCAGATGGAACCAATATACATCTTACATTTATTGACAGATGACATGTCTCCCTAAAACGTATAAAACCAAGTGGTAGCCCGACCACTCTGGGCACATGTTTTTGGTATCTCCTGGGGCTATGTCATGGGTTATGGTCCTCCTATTTGGCTTAGAATAAATCTCATCAAATATTTTACAGAGTTTGACTCTTTTTATCAACAAGCAAGCAGTAGTAATTTTAAACACAACATTAATTATTTTTTAAATAATTCATGTAAAAATATTGTGCTGACAGAAAAACAGCAACCAAGAGAATGTTAGGCACCTCCCATATCAAATGAAGTTCTACTTGTTGCAATCTTTACTCTGGCTGTGGTATAGTGGCAAGAAAACTGGTCTCAGAGACCATAATTATAGTCCTGATTTTGTGATTGAGCAAGACATGTCTTTTATAAAAATAACTTTATTTTATGAAAAAGGGCATATAATATTCATTATCTGTAAAGTTAGATGATTTTTAAAATTATATATTTAAAGTATTCAATATGATGTTTTGCTATATAAAGAGTAAAATGATTACTACAGTCATGCCAATTACCATTTCCATCATCTCAGATAGTTAGCACTTGTTTTGTAAGAGCACCTAAAATCTACTCTTAGTAAATTTCCAGTATTTATATACAATGCAATAACAATACAATATTATTAACAATTGTCCTCATTCTGTACATTAGATTTCAGACTGCTTCATCCTATATAACTGAAACTTTTTACCCTCCCTCCCTTAGCATCTCCCACCCCAACTTTGGTAACCTGATAACCACCATTCTACTCTGTGTTTCTATATATTCGACATTTTAAAAAATATTTCACATATAAGTGAGATCATGCAATATTTTCCTTTCTGTGTCTGGCTTATTTCACTTAACGGGATGACCTCAAGTCCATCCATGTTGTCACAAATGGCAGACTCTCCTTTATTAAAGGCTGAATAGTACTTTATTGTACGTGTACCACAGTTCCTTTATCCAGTTATCTTTCTATGGGCCCTTAGGTTGTTTCCATATCTTGTCTATTGTGAATAATGCTGAAGTTAGGTAATGGAATTAAGATTTCTCCTAGTTTTGTGATCACAAACCAATGTGTTGTAAGTATTAGAGAAATTCACCTTGAAAATATACACAGAATTAAATACCTACATTATGTAAGTTGAAAACTTTCTGATAGCCTTCTTATTTAAAAAGAGAATGACTAATAGGGTAATATTCATGCCTACATGTAAAAAGGCCAAAGGCCAGTCCAAGGCCAGTCACAGTGGATCACACCTGTAATCCCAGCACTTTGGGAGAATGAGGCAGATAGATTGCTTGAGTTCAGGAGTTTAAGACCAGCCTGGGCAACATGGCGAAACCCCAGCTTTAAAAAAAAAAATACAAAAATTAGCCAAGTATGGTGGCATGCACCTGTGGTCCTAGCTACTCAGGAGGCTGAGATGGCAGGATAACTTGAATCCTGGAGGAGGAGGTTGCAGTGAGCCAAGATCATGCCACTGCGCTCTAGCCTGGGCAACAGAGCAAGACTCTGTCAAAAAAAAAAGAAAAGAAAAAAAGAAAAACTAAGTCATTTTAGGCAAAAATTTAGGCAAAATTTCAAAATTTGAAAAAATTGATTACATATAGCTTAATTATTGATAATTATTTAAATAACAATATACATTATTAGTATTTTCTCCACATTGCCCAGGCTTTGAGTTGCAAGAGCTTTTAAACTGATTTCCAAAAGATGGTATTTTGTTCTATACCTGACAAAGTCTGTGTAATATTTAAATAAAACATAAGAAACACTTATAATCTATAAAGCATTTTAAATATGCTGTTTTTTATATTCCCTCTATCTTTTCAGAAAAATTAATCTCTTATTCTATAATTCTGGATTTTTGTTTTATCTTCCTTATGCAAGTATACCTTACAGATATAGTGGGTTGGGTTCTAAACCACCACAATAAAGTGAATATTGCAATAAAGCAAGTGACACAAGTTTTTTTGGCTCCCAGTGCATAAAAAAGTTATATTTACATGAATACTACAGTCTATTAAGTGTGTAAGAGCATTATGTCTAAAAAAATAATGTACATATCCTAATTTGAAAATATATCATTGCTAAAAAATTGCTAACCATCATCTGAGCCTTCAGCAATTTGTAATCTTTTTGCTGGTGAAGAATCTGGACTTGATGTTCATGGCTGCTGGTTGACATGATGGTAGTTGCTGAAGATTAGGATGGCTGTGACAATTCCTTAAAATAAGACAACACTCAAGTTTGTCATATTGATTGACTCTCCCTTTCACAAAAGTTTTTTTATAGAATGTGATACTGTTAGCATTTTACCCATAGTAGAACTTCTTTCAAAACTGGAATAAATCCTCTCAAACCTTGTGAAATGGTTTGGTTCTCTGTCCCACCTAAATCTCATCTGTAATTTTAATCCCCATAATCCCCACATGTCAAGGGAGAAACCTAGTGGAATATGATTGGATCATGGGGGCAATTTTCCCCCCATGCTGTTATTGTTAGAGTGAGAGAGTTCTCAGAAGATCTGATGATTTTGTAATAGTTTGACAGTTCCTCCTACAGGAGTGCATGACCATGCCCAGCTAAGTTTTAAAAACAATTTTGTAGGGACAGGATCTCACTGTGTTGCCCAGGCTGGTCTTAAACTCCTGGACTGAAGCAATCCTCTTGTCTCTGCCTCCCAAACCACTGGTATTATAGACATAAGCCAAAGTCTTGAAACCTTCAAAGTTATTCATGAGGATTGTAATCAACTTCTTCCAAACTACTGTTAATATAGATATATTGGCCTACTCTTATGAACCGTAAATGTTCTTAATATCATTTCAAATTATGAAGCCTTTCCAGAAAATGTTCAATTTACTTTGCCCAGATGCATCAGAGAAATCACTATCTACAGCAACTAGGCCTTATGAAATATATTCTTAAATAATACATCTTGAAAGTCAAAAATACTCTTTGATCCATAGCTATAGAATGGCTGTTGATCATTCATGGATCATAACTGTTTGATACGTGGCTGAAGAATGGCTGTTGTGTTAGCAGGCATGAAAACAGCATTAATCTCCTTGTATTTCTCCAGGAGAACTCTTGGATGACCAGGTGTATTGCAAATCTGCAGCAATATTTTAAAAGAAATCTTTCTTTTTCTGGGCAGTAGGTCTCAACAGTGGGCTTAAAATATTCGGTAAG